GGGCATTTATACCCAAAAGGTAAATTATGTGACATCTTCATAGTATCCCCATACCTTGTAGCGTAAAAAATTCTGTATTATGGACATTCTCCTCTTTTAATCCTTAATGTAAATAGCCAGACCTTAAGTCCAACTTGGAAAACAGACCTTTGTGCTCCCTCACGAAGTTGATCAAACAAGCCATCATCACTCGCCATAATGATCTTGTTCTTAATGGGTAAGCTTTGTTTAACTCTACCATAATCATGTCAGCTGCTATCGCTAACCGTACCTTTTTCTTTACACAAAAAGAATGAGTGCTCCCCATGGTGAGGTGCTTGGGCGAGTAAAACCACCTCCTCAGCAATTCTTGGGTAATATGACACTAAGAAGCTCTGTGTAGTTCATTGACTATCATATGATAGGGATGCCTTATGAAATTCGGCTCCAGCACAAGTAAAGATCAATGGTGAAATCAATTTTCTTTAAGTGAATGCATTCGCATGTAAAACCTCAGGGAATACATCAGGGAAATTCCCTTACATAGACAATCTCATTTAACTCCGGCCCACTCTGCTATTGAAGTGTCCCTTACATGAGTTAAAGAAAAGTTGGGTAACCTTTCAAAATTAAGCTACAATTTAAAGATGAGGTGTACATAGAATGATACACCTCGGTTCACCCTGAAAATAAAACTATTTCCCCCCTTGAATCTTGACTTTGACTACTTTCTATTGTAATTAAAAAGATGAACTGATAGTATCCCAATCGCATTCCTAGGATTCACATCAAATTTAAATGGTGGTAACACACATCAATTCAGCATTACAAATCCCTCTCGCAAAATAGAAACGTCAGTTGACGATGACACATTGAAAAAGGAAAAATCTTTATCTTGAACATCAAGTAGAGTAGCTGAATAATGAGTAGAGTGGGATACAATATTGTAGGTACTACATACAACAATGCCTTAACATAACTCCTGACTAAAATAAGTGAGAATGTGTAATGCCTCCTGTATATAAAAAAGACTCTACTAGGTTAGAGATCAACTATAATAAACATGTGATCATAGCAAGAAGATTCCATCTCTCTCAACAATAACTCAAGATTATA